TACGGCTTCCTCAGCTGGGAATATTGAACCCAGCTGAGGAAGCCGTAGGAGACACAGTGAAACGCGTTCTGGGAATAATTCTAAGACATTTATCTTTGCCCATTGTAATTTAATAATTTTTAATTTATTTATAGCTTGTTAACCCTTGAAGGGGGATATTTTGTTTAATATAATAAAGTTTACAGTATTTAGATTGTGGGCTGTTTGGTTCCTGCTTAAAGGAGTACATCTCCGGTTTACATAACGCGCTGAGACAGAGCCGATATAGAGGCTCCACCTTTGTGAGTATAATACGTATTAAATCACTGAGGAATTATGAATATACATACTGCACCATATTTGTGTTACTTAAATCTTAGAGGTGAGTACACAAGATTATTCGATAAGAAGAAGGGGAAGGTCGCCTGCACGGCCATACAAGTGCTTCTCCCTGAGCTTGGCGTTAAGCTCAGGAGGATGTGACTGGAAAGCTTTATCTTTTATATATTAGTTTGTTTTATACAGTGTTACACTATTGGAGTTTTTCTCTTATTTTATAGGTATATTTCGTAGGCTTTTTTGGCCCCCTTATTGGGACGAGTGCTCTCTGGGTAAACTCAGCCGAGTTTAATATATGTATGTAGCGCTACATCTTTCCTTGTATTTTGTACTTTGTATATCTTAAAACAGCTTTCAAAAGCTGCAGATCTTTTGACTGCAGCATTTGCAAGCCCTCCCCTTCTTCCCCAACCCACACTTTCTAAGGCTGCCCAATTTCAAACTTTCCAATGCAGCTCATTAACCTCGTAACGACGCATGACAGAATAATACTGTTATTCTGGGCTGGCAGCTATTCTGTTGGAGACCTGCAGGGTTTGAACAGAAATGTAAAAAGCCCAGTTATATAGGTGTGTGTGTGTTCAGAATCAGGAAAATAAATACAAATACAATTTTTACTTACTTTACTATGTAAAAAAGTGTCAAAATACCGTTCAGTAAATAGCCTTTGAGGCAATTTTGCTATCTGTGATGGCTACAACACTAGCAAGACAAACTTACCAAATTCTTAAATTGTTTCACATTATTGTTTTGTGGCCTGGAACTACCAAAAATAAACTGTAATCCTAGACATATGATGTACTCTGTAAATCAGGACAAATAATTTTTTTTTTTTAAGGAACACAGACATGTATTCCTGACCCTATAGTGTGGAAAAACACTATTGGGCACTCCTTGCCATCCTTAAATATTGCAAAAAAGTACGGGATGTCTCGGCCTGGACTCCGCTGAGTTAACGCTTCAACTTATCAGTAGCTCCCCATTCACAAAGCCGCTTGAGAAACATGCATCAGCGCATTATGTACCATTTAACCCTAGAAATTGATTTCTCTAAATCAATGAAGATGTAATTGCTGCAACAAACTGTCAGTAAACAACCTCATGGAGTGCACGGACATTATGTCGTGAAAATAGCTGTTAAAAAGCTTTATAAAGACTTTTCTAAGGACCATGGTTAGTAACGTCTCTCATGTTAAAGTATAGTGGGATTTCAGAGGCTGTGTGTGAATTGATCATTTAAATGATTGGGGAGGGAGGAAAGATATATTTTTTTTTATTGATTTCTTTTTTTTTTAACAATCTGATTATTTCTCTGACTGTCCTTAAAGTGTAACCTTCTTGTCTTTGTGTTTTTTTTGTTTTTTTTTTGCTGTATTTGGATGCATTGTTCCTTTCTATGCTTGCATCACACATCATATAATGGAAGCAAACTGTTTTTAATTTGTGAGCTTATTTGTAGTTCCCAAATTTATTTAATTGTATAACTGGGAATGAAGATTTATAGAAGCATATCAAATGTGTTAGTTGGAAAGGAAGGAAGTAATGGAATGGTGGCAGATGCATGAACCTCTCTGTCAAAGGTTTGAATTGATATTGCCCCTGGGTTGCTCTGGTTTTAAAGGAACAGTCAATGCAATAAATCTGAATTTCATATATATTCTACACAAATTCTAGGGTACTACAAAGTGTGTCTGAGAGGTGCTGCATACTACTGGATATCTCACATTTTTCTGATTTTATAATTCGAAAGTGGCAGGCTTATATGCCATTGGCCTTGAAAGCGGGCTGCGGTGTTTGTTACTGAACCCAGAGTGTGCACATGCAAACCTGTTCTAATAACTGATTTGGTTGTTTGTTCTAAGTAACAACACTATTTTTGGCATTAAAATGCTGCAGGGAAATTAAAAAAACAAAAAGCGATGGAATTGAGATAGAGGTCATCGTTATTGAGAGAAATCAAACTTCCATAAAGCTCTGAGCCATTTCCTACTCATGTCTGCTGCTAAACAAGGTTGGAACTTACCCGTGACCCCACTGATTTATTGGGGGGGGGTGAGTGGGGCACACAAAAAGTCAGAAGACTGGCCACTTTGAAAGATCCCAGGATGTTGGAGATCATTTCCTACATTTGCTGCATACATGCAAGAAACAAAAATTGCTAGCTACATTATTAGCATGATATCCAGCGTGTCTATATATAGGTATCTGGCTTGAGGGTATCCTCTAGGCTATGCTATTTTAGCAGTGCACTGCAGAACTAAAGCTAGTCTGGTGAGGTCTTGTGGCTAAAATTGTGGATCATGACCTTATTTTACAATTGTGAAAGACTATATGTGTATGACAGTCCAGATTAATACTAGAGCATCTTGTGGGTATATTCAAGACATCTGTTAGGGTGTCTGGTGTTCGGCATCTGGGGAGTAGAGTCCTTTGCACAGTGTGTTTTCACCCAATCCCCTGATCGGGCGTTACTCTGCGGTCGTGTATAAGTCCCGTGAATTTTTCCCAGTTGTGGGTCGTTTGTGCGATGTTCCTCTGTTCGCAACAGTTGGGGGGGGCAGTGCAGCATCGTGGAGGTGAGGCAACCCACTGGCCCCGGTGCTGTGTGAGAGCTGGTACCCTGTTGCCATGAGCCTGGGAGCCAGTGAGTTCCAGGGTCTTCCCTGTCGGGGCGGTGCGGTGGGTCTTGTGGTCAGTTGCTTTCTGTCGTCGCTTCTGTCTTGTGGCCTTGTACCTGTGGGCTGTGGCCCTTGTTGCTCTCAGCCCGGGTGGGAATCTTGTGAGGATGGCTGAGGTGGGGGGAATGTTTTGTGCCCTGAAGTAGGTTCCCAGTCCTCCTCCTCTATGCACACATGGTCCCGTACAGTCGGGATAGGGGTAGTCAGAGCCGGTCCAATACGGGTCAATAGCTTGGTCCAGAATCTGTCGAAAATAGCATCAATAGAGTCTCTTACTGTGTTGCTGGGGTCTGGCAGATCATGCTGCTGCATTTGCGTGCCGCCTGAATCTGGGTCTAATGCGTCCGCCATTTTAAAGACCTCCGTGCCCGTGAGGTTTATGGTGTGGGGTGCTCCTTCTGGCGGGGACCGGGATATCCCGGGGCGGCGCCCGTCTTTCCCCTGCGCTGTCTCCGTTAGGCCTCTACTTGCTGCAGCAGTTCCCGGTCGTTGGATTTTGGTGTCTGCAGGCTTCCCCCATCCATCTAGCATCATTACGGGATGTTTCCAGCACTGCAGCCCGAGTAATCGTCGAGAGAGTAGCCCGTGCAGTAGGAACTCATGTGAGGCACGACTTGTCAGCTCGCTGGCTTGGCTCCGCCCCCCATTTTATTCTATTTCTCACAATGCAGACATGTAATAGATGGAATGGTAATCAACCAGTGATTAGGTTCTTTACCATAACTACTGATCAGTTGTTATTCTGTGTTATTTGTAAATCTAGAAAAAATAAATAAGACTGACTGTATATTGGTTTTGTTTATATAGGTAATGTGGACAGGCTTACCTTGTGAAAACTTCCATTTGCTAATTTGCTGTGCTATCTTGGAGTCTGAAAAGCAATATATGATGGAAAGGAATTATGGCTTCAATGAAATTCTCAAGGTATGTATTTCTAACTTCGCACAATAAAACCTAGTGAATTGTTATTGCTTTTTAAAAATGAAAAGGGCATGTATTTACTCTGTTATATCAAGACTTCTGGAAGATAGCAAGACCACTCCAATTCCATAATAATTACACTATATTTTTTAATTCAATTTGTCAATCACAGAAGGAAAAAAACGCAAGGATGGATAGTCTGAATTTATTTTGCATTGGTAATTTCACTCTCCTCGTTAACTATATATTTCTAAAAACATATTGCTTTTAGTGAAACTCTTGGATGTGGTTTTAGTCTTGTCAAAGGAATGAGTTATCGGAGCGTGACTTGGCTTTAGTCTATTGTTTTATAAATGAACTGACAACATTAACTAGAAAATGCATTTAAAATATAGATGCAATAAAAATTCTCACATTTGCAGTTCCTGCAGCAAACCCCCATTCTCTGCAGGGAGTCCTCACCAAATCAGGACGTTATCTTGGAGGCTCATGATGGGACGTTAATATGTTGTAGCTTTGTTAAGAACATCCCATATACATGGCTTTATGGGCTTTGCAAGGACTTCTGGTGGTTATAGTCTAGTCGCTAATTTTCTGGTGTAGAAAGCCAGCAATAAAACTACTGTTCCCAAAAATGTCACTACATCCATATTTAATTATCAGAATATTCCCTTTTGCAGATATTATCTTGTTGCTTGAGCTTTAACTTAACATAATTTGAGGGGAATAATCTATTATGCTCTTTTGTGAGAATATAGTTTGCACAGCATTTTGAATCCAGAAGTAAAGATTCCCCCACTTTCTAAATTCTAATCAAATTATTGTGCTGCAAAAGAGTGTTTTTAGTTCATGAATTTTAGATATTCATGTTGAATAAAAAGGACCAGGACCGATTATTAAATGTTTTTTAAATAATTCAGTTTTATTTTATTGTCCACGTATGAAAGATCCTTCCAATCAAGGGAATAAGTTAATACGGCACGGTCATGGCCGCATCCCTTTTTTATTTAACCCCCCTCCCGTATACACTACATCTTATTGCCCCCCTAGTTACCTCCAAATGCACCTAGGTGCCCCATTTTACCTTTTTTGTAAAAACCTTTTGTGACCGGACCTAGGTCATGGACGCCGCCATCTTGGTGTGGGCCGATGAAGGCCCTGTGGGACACGTCAACTGCCCACACTAGATAGCACTGTGAAATTCCTGCGCTTGCCCAGTTAAACACTTGGGCATTCGGATGGGAAATTCAGCCATTTATTCGTCAAAGACGGATAAATGAATAGAAATTTTAAACGAATGAACGAAGACCTCTTAGTCGGTTTATTACAAGGAGGGAGCTACCGGCTTGCGGCTCCCTCCTTGTATGTGAAAATAGAAGCGGCTGGGAGCAGTGCTCCCCACTACTTATGAACTCACTGTTAAAAAAAAGAAAAAAGAGCCCCCCACTCCCTAAGCCACTAGTCACCCCCCTCCCCAAAAATTAAATTCTACCTACTCCTACCTAAAAACAATCTATACTTACCATTAGATGTAGTCTTTTTTCTTAAACCTTCTTTTTTCAGCCCCAAAAAAGGCCAAATAAAAGCCATAATTCCCGTTAAACTTTAAATATAAAAAAGAAAACCCGAACGCAAAAAAAACTGAATTTTTTTTAAATCCATCTTCACCCAGTGAGGGCACCAAGTGGACTAAGCTCCGCAGGGCGGGGAAAGGCTTATAAAGCCTTTCAACGCCCTGCAATTTGGCTCGGAGCGCTCTGATTGGTTAAAGCCAGCCAATAGGAGTGTTCTGATAGGTAAATTTGAGCCTTGCTTGATTGGTAACTTGATAGTAGATAGCTCCCTGATACCGTGGGAATTAGGGAGCTATTTACTAAGCATTTGCAAGATGCAGCCGTGGCACGAATAGGATTGGCATTTCATTCATTCAAATGAAATTCCATTCTGAACAGAAAGTGCCAAATTATGTCGTAACATGAATGAACAAACTGTTCTCATTCTGTTAGGTCGAAATTCGGTAGTTTTGTCGGCGTCCTGTCTGTGACACGGAGTTAGGGAATACTGACCGGAAGCATCACAAGATCACGGAGGAAAGGGTGAGTTTTGTGGGAAAATTTATCTGACCCACAGGAAATAGGTCCTGAGGGAGAGAAGATGAAGCGATTGGGGAAAGGTAAATTCGGCATGACAATGCCACTTTAAGGTGGAATAAAAAGAAGGGAATTCAATCCCTTGGCGTAGGATATTAAATAAAGGGTTTATTTTATTTCAAAAGCTGATCTCTCTGAGAAAATAATTAAAAATTGTTATTTCTGAAAAAACAATTCATTTCAAAGGAATGCAGATTATTTTGACAATAACTGTTTTATTCATTTTATCATTTTATTTATTTTTTTATTTTTTCAAAATGTTTAAATGTTTCTGAAGGAAAAAAAGTCTGTAAGAGAATTGGGAGTCCCTGCTCAATAGGTCTTTATGTATAACTATTGTGTACTGTCATTTTGTTTTTAGCACATCAATGAACTTTCTATGAAGATGGATGTAAATGATGTTTTAAGCAAAGCTGAAGCAATTTCTTTGCAGATGATGAAGTGCAAGGTATTTCAAGATCATATCGTGTCATCCAGCTCACTGTTGCTGTCACGTTTTGCAATGACAGGGTTTTCCCTTTATATTTTGATCATTGGAAATTGTAGCTTCGATTTGTTTTTAAATGAGTAGTAAACATGAACACCCATTCATAGAAACTGCATTTGATTTGATTTGAAATTACGCCACTTATTGTATAAAGAGGTGGGCAACAAAGTTGACACGTATCAAAGGTAGAAAATTCTGCACTTTTTGTTTTACATATAGACTATATTTCTACTTCTTCTGATCTTGGTAAAACATTTAATATTCATGTAATTTGTGAAAAAAGAAAAATACAAGCAAAGACATTCTGTTGGACCCCCAATCATTTATTCACTAAGTCCGATAAAGGAACTTCAGTTACAGGTTTGTTTTTTTTTGCGAGGGGAGGGAGGGATTTATTTTGTTTTGGGTTTTTTCCCCATCTTTTTTCTCATGAACACACATGCTTGCACAATAAAAGCCCCCACCCCCAGAACATCTAGGAAAAAAGTCTGAAAAATTACTCACCAATGCAACTTGTAAATAAAAGTTTAGTGGGTCATTTTGAATGGGATCAACAGTCCTCATACTCTGATAATATTGTCGTCTTATGTGTAAAAAATATAGTCTTTATATGCTTCATGGAGCCAAGACTTGAAAACATGGAAAATGGACATGTGTTTAAGGACAAATAAGATGCAATTCATGTTGTTATATAAAAATATTTTAACTCTCTGCTTGTAATGTTATGTTGGAGAAGATTATTGTGGTTATAAAGGATGTTATATATGTTTTATGCAAAGGAAAATTATTGATGGTATTAAATATATATGTTTGAGTTTAATTTGACATTAATACTTATAGACTAACATTGTTTATTTATCCTAAAACCCCAAAATGTATTTGAGATATTAAAATAGATTTTAAATATCCACACCTCTTTATCCTTCTACTCTGTGCCTTCATCTTATCTCCCCGTCAGGCATGGTTTTAGGCTCTGTCCTTTGCACCTGGCAGTCAGCATAGAGAAATTGTACAACGTAAAGGAGACATTAAACTGTTTCTATGTCTCTCCTAGTTTGCAATGTTTACTCTGACCTTGCCTGAACTGGATTTGATGTAATTGGTTGTTTTTTGTTTTTTTTTATTAAAAAGAAAACCGCATCCCATGAAAAAAACCTATTAACAGAAAGTATAGGTGATTTTCAATGTTTTGTCAATGGTGTAATTTTCATAGATGTTTAACCTTTGACTAATTTAAACAATCTGCCACCTACCTGGCTTTTTTATATTGTGTGTGTGTGTGTGTTCTATTTAGGTAGCAGTAAGTAAATTTGGAGGCAGAGCAGCCTATCTGCCTCACACAGGAGTTTGAAAACACCATGTCTAGGATAAAAGTGTATGTATCTTAAAGATACCATGTCATCCTTGGAGTTATGGAACCATACTTTGTACTTTAACTTCTACGAAAAAAGGGCATGGTTGGAAAAAGTAGAGGTTTTTTTTTTTGTATTTGATTTTAATGATGCATCATCTGTCTTTCGTATGTAAACATTTTACTAATTGTCTCTCGTTTACATCATCCTTCAGGATTTGCCTCAAGCAGTGTGTGAAGTTCTTGGACTCAAGAGCAACTCTGTTCCCACTACAGTTGGAGGCTTTAGTGAAGAAAACGTTGCCAAGAAAACTCATCACAAGTCTCCACCACAAAATGTCTCTGTGCCTGTACTTGCTGCCAATGGCACGCAACGCAACTCTCTGCCAAAAAGTATTCACACACTGTCTGCCTGATACAGTGTTTGAAAAAGAACACATACTGATAAAAACTTGACACGGACATTTGGTTTAATATGTGACAATAATTCCACTTTTAATCTGAAATTTTGAAAAAATACTCCAAACATTTTTGTCTACATCAGTGTCTTTGCATTAAAGCTTTTCACAAAAGAACTTACCTAATTATTTTTGTAGTAGACGCTGAACCAAACTAGCCTCTATCAATATCATTCCATAGCCTTTGAGAAATGATGTGAGTTACTATGGAAAACTGGAATATAAATACTGCAGTACAGCATCAATACAGCAAAAAGATTACATCAGTTTGACTTATGACATGAAAGGGGAAAGTTGCATTTTATTTTGGATTTGTTTTTCACCACTTACTAAGATGAATATTTCTGCAGAACAATAAATGTTACTTAACAATAGAACAAAAGAACAGAATTGTATGAACTATACAAATTTGTATTTAAATTACCATTTGCTTTTTAATTATCTTTGTTTAAATTGGCAACCATTTAAAATTCAAATGATCAATTATTGGAAACCCAGTTGAAGCTCACATATACAAATATTCCTGTTTAGTTAAATTGTTTATAGTTGACTAAATACAATTGCTTTAAAGTATGAAAACAAATGAGATTTTGGTTGAACACATTTTCTAGATCACTGGCTCTAATTCCTACCCACCCAGTACTGTCAAATTCTAGAGGAAACATACAAATATGACTGTCTCAATTTATTGGAAGCCATGTTTAAATTATACATAGTGTTTCATATAGATATATTTAATGGTTGTATATGATCAGACTGGGCTACCACTTGAGAACCACCGTTCAAGATTACAGTCGGTTTCCATTTTGGTCTGTGACTTTTTTGTTCTATAGTCAATGAGGGATATCCTTGAAAAAGTTGCTCTGTTTTGTTGTGCAGATACTCAATGCCTTTTAAATGATTAGTGATAGACTCCTTTTGTAAGAAGAAGTGATGATCCACTCATTTATTTAAATGTTAAAGAAAGCTGTGGATTACTCATTATTATTATTATTATTATTCTGTTCAAAGTCAATGATGCGTTTTGTACTAAGCTCCACATGTGAGAGTAAAGATAATATGACTGAAATATTTTCACTCCAATGATTCACATTTCATTGTACTTTTCCTTTTCCCATTAACAGTGCACCAATGGTCACATCATTCTACTATGGTATTATCTGCTACAGGTGGAGGTTACTTATCGTCCGTTCTCTCACTAAAACTAATATACATATTAATAATCTCAATAACTGGTGTATTTATTTTAAGGTCAGCCGAGGGATGGATTCACCACAGTGCATGATTCTAAGTTATGTGGGCCTCTGCATAACAAATTCAATGTATTAATTGTATAGTGAATAATGTAAATACTGAATCTGAAATGTAATTATTTCAACTGACACTTTTACATCTGGTTTGGTCCTTTGGCAAATAAAATATTCTTGTGTTTCCAGGACAGAATTGTAGTTATGTTATGAAATGTTCTCCGCACTCTCAAAAGAATGTATTCAGATTTTTAAGCCACATGTAATATTTTTAACAATACATGCAGGGCCGTAAAGGAAAGATCAAGATTTCTCATTTAAAATCTCTGTTCCATCACTATAGAAAGGTTTCCAGTCTATCTATAGATGAATTAAACTATTCAGTAGTTATCCTGGTCAAGTCAATTAGTTTGTCCATGGAATAAGAGGCATTTTATTTGTTCAATGCAGCTGCAAGGGGTTTGTGCACGACAATCATGATTTAAAATCCAAGATTATCATGTCTGGTGCTGTTTATTTGTTATTGAGAATCATCTGACTGACAGTGTAGTGATTGCTGTGCAAGCAATGTAGTTTCATATTGCTTCTGTGAATCATTGGTTTAGACAGAAATCACCACAACTGATGATTGTAGAACAGTTGGAATAGCAACCCAGAGAAGACTCTGCTCTGGATTACAAAAAATAATATATAATTGAAAAAAATTTTTTGAAGGATTATTTGTATTTTTAAACTTGTAAAGTGGTCCATGAACCTAAAACAAGGAAATCTCTAGGATTTTATATATATATATATATTTTAGAATTTTTAATCCATAGTCATACAGGGCATATGGTCCATAGAAGACGCAAAAACACTAATTGTACTTAAAGTACCATTCTGGGCACCAAAACCACTTTATCTGGGACTCCCCAGAACAAGATTGCCATAAGGCGACACAGGGTTTTTTTTTGATGGGGGTCTTCCTGTGCCGACAGAGGTGTCAATTGATCTCACTGCTTGGCCCCTGCTCTTCACTCACTTCATCTGCAGCTCTCTCAGGTGTAGATGACTTTAAGAGCTTTCTTGCAATCCCTCCAGTGCTTCTCCAAGCTTTGCAGCCATCTACCTGAGCAATTCACTGGGTGCCAAGACCACAATGCTCACCCACTGAACCACCATGGATAACACAACCTGCTTCCAAAAGGTAAGAAGGAGAGGTTAAATAAATACTTCCCCCAACAATCGGTCCCCACAGCCTCCCCCCACACGCAACACTTAAACATGCAGAATCCCTTCCAAACACACAACACTCAAACTCCTCCGTACACATCGCTCACAAAAAAACAAAAGGGGTCTGCAATCCGGCATCCTGCCTAATGCCCAAGGTAGGCAATATTAACCAGGCTCTGGAGACCTCACCCCCTTCAAAAATTGTTTAAACACTTAATGGTAAAAAGGCACCATTGGATTCTGGACACCATAACTACTTCATTTAAGTGGTTTTGGTGCCAAGAGCAGTCCTCTAATTGTGACTTTGCAATCTCATTATTTCAGCTAATTAAATAATTACCACCCTCAATGCAGCACTTAATTGCAATTAAAAGGGTTTTACATGTACTCACAGTATCATTGATAAAAAGAAATGCCTAAAGGTTCACTAAGTGCATTGTGAGCGAATGTTACGTAGTATTTTTATATAAAGAACGCACTAAGTGCATATAACAAGTATCACACATAGGATAACATAGATTGTGATAAATTAAAATGACTATGTAATACTTAAATTAATTCTAATGAAACATATAGTGCACAAATATATCCACACTTTACATAAAATTCAAAACTCAAAGTACACTATTATCTATGGGAAAATTGGACTTAAAATGCAGTTGCAAAAACTTTTATCTTAAAGTAACAAAATATCTGTTAAGAAAAATAGGTTATTTGGACACAAAATGGCATAAGCAGCATAAATAAACAACCTCATTAAAAACTACAACAATGACAACCGCCGCTCAGACTGCGCTGATCCGCCCGGGTGCTGATGCCCTATCTGCCCCCGGGGACCCCACATCCATAACGCAAAAAAAAACCAAACAAACAAAAAAAAAAAACCGCCTGACCCGAACTAAGGGGCTCGGCCGATACGCATACAACGGCCCTGATATCATCACGAAATTGGACAGTACTGAACAAGGTTATGGTGGACTTGAGAAAAGCTGCAAGAGTATGGACTGATCCTACCCCACAATATGCACGAACATAACTCCACCTGCCGGGAATAACGACTACCCGAGACTGAGTACACACCTGGCAATGTTACAACCTGGACTGACCTCCCCCTTGTGCACTTATAGGAATGACCCCGTTGTGCCTCTCCTTGCCCTCACGGTCTCATGACCCTCCGAGAACGTTCTCGGGGGCCCTTTGATGTGGCATTGGGGTGGTGGGGTGATTTGGGGGGAGCTCTGGGCACACTCTGTTCCTGCGCTGACACGACCACGGCTGCTTTGGCTTGAATATGCATGGATTAGTGCCGTGACTGGACTTACCTGTGACATCACCAACATGCACGAAATCAACAGCGAATCCAGGACTATCCACACCTGCTAAGTATCTTTGCTTGAAGTTATACCGCTTAATTGCTTTCTCTCCTATGTTATTTATTGTGCTAAATATTGCTGATGATTTGGCTATGTCTCCTGAATATGTAGACTGTACCAGAGGGACAGACGGGTGTGTGGGAACTTACCTGGAACATGAGGGCTAGAGGGGGCCAGCCAAATGGAACACCCCCACGAGAACATTAGGGAGTTAACTACTTTTAATAAGACTCATGGGGAAGATGCCCTGGGATTTACCACACCTCACTCCGAACATAGCACACACCAGGAAGGATAGAGACATTATGGCTAGATATCCTCATCGATCAGACAATAGGTGCCCGGGCAGATTTAGGATCGCTATATCTCTCATGACACATTTTGGAAGATAAGTGGGAGACACAATTGTTATGGGGGGCTTGCCCCGGGGCGGAGTGGGTGGTTAGACTGCCTGGCGGGGAGTGTTGGGGGGGAAGGTGGATAAATGTTACCGCCAATTGTTGCTGATACTCATACTGTTATTGTTTACGATCACAACATTTAACCTGCTATGATTCTGTTTGATCCCCTGATTGTTTGCTCCTCCCACGACTATACACACTTGGGCTGGACACTGGTTGGAGCGAGATAGACGAGAACCCGACTTACCCACGACACACAGACCACGCCTACTCGGGCTTGGACTCCGTCCACTGCTCTATACTCTCACTTGCGCAGAATCCTCAAAGGAGCCACAGGCTCGATCACCCACCGATCTGGTTATCGGAGTGACACCTGGCCACTCCTATTGAGACGCAAGTGACTCTCCTCTTTTTGGAGATCTCGGGGTTACACCCACCTTTTACCCCGCTGGGGATATACCCCAAGGGAGGGACCCACTCGGATCACCCCCCTATTTTATTATATATATCCCACTCTATCCTTCACCCACACAATCAACATTCCCCTACTAACGATACCAATAGCATACTACCCTTAAATACACCCACAAGCACTCACCCACACTCACACCAACCCTCACGGCTGCGGCACACGTTCCGGCCTGACACAGATGACGAAGGGGGACACCTCCTGAACGAGACCCATAGCTCATGGGACGCTTGCATACCCACCCATAACTAGCACTGAAACGGACGCATAGGACACCACACCTCATAGTCACGTGTACGCCCACACTAGCTGGCATTGTCTCCCTGGCCGATCACCCCGCCTGGATACCCCCCCTGGGAGCCGGAGCGTACAGCCGCAGAGAAAATCATGGCGTATAATCGCGCTCCCCTGTCCGTCATGACCCTTAACTGCAGAGGCTTGAATATACCGGAACGCCGCTCTCACCTACTAAGAATCCTGCGACAGAAACACATATCGATAGCGATGCTACAAGAAACTCACTTTCGGGAGAACGCTGCTCCAAAACTCCGAAGCGCTCATCATCCATTATACTATTGCAACAATCACCCGTCCGCTCGTCGGGCGGGGGTTGCGATACTGCTTGCTGCAAACCTAGATTTCCAAGAACTGGACAGATTGGCTGACGATCAAGGGCGCTTCCTTTTCCTGAAAGGAACGATAGCCGACAGAATGTACACTCTCGCGACCATATACGTCCCCAATTCTAAGCAAGCACAATTCCTTCGCGGGACACTACACAAACTGCATGGATTCTCGGAGGGAGCACTGATAGTGGGGGGAGACTTTAATGTCCCATTAGACCCTCTCATGGATTCATCCACTGGCCATAGTTGCCTCTCACAATCTCGCATTAGATCCATCCGCAAAACGCTAGGTGAACTAGCATTGGTGGACTGTTGGAGGACGCTTCACCCCTCTACCAAGGACTACACGCATTACTCGGTGATCCACAAACGTTATTCCCGCATAGATTATGTGTTCATCAAGCAAGAAGGGCTCTCCCGTTTGCGCACAGCCTCTATAGAACCGGCTACCTGGTCGGACCACGGCTCAGTCAGGGTCGAATTGGAATCCCCGCTGTTTAAACCCGCAACATGGACGTGGCGCCTGAATGAATCCCTGCTCCAGGACCTTGGGGTAAGAGGGGAGATCACACAAGCACTGGAAAACTACTTTGCCGAGAACGGAACAGATGAGATATCTCCGGTGTCGGTGTGGGAAGCACATAAGAGTGTTATACGTGGTACCCTCATCGGCATTGCATCGCGCAAAAGGACGGAGTCCACCCGGGCGATGGCAGACGCATATAAATCCATCACACGCCTGGAATCCCAACACAAACGTTCCCAACTAACCTCAACATATGGTGAACTGATGGAAGCCAGACGAACTTTGCAGACCCTACTCACGCAAAGACACCACCGCTCACTCCAAAGATCGAGGTCCTTCTTTTACACCCATGCAAATAAAGGTGGGAAATTCCTCGCCCGCCTCCTGAGAGGAGACACACCACGCTCTCAAGTGAGGAAACTTCGCTTATCAAAGGGCAGTATATCACCATATCCTGAGGAAATAGCAGGTGAATTCCGGGAATATTACAACTCCCTCTATAACCTCTACCCACCAGAGGACACAGCCCATAGACGGGAAACGTCCTCACTCATACAAACATACCTGCAAGACAACGTGCGGAAACGGATGAACCCTGAGACAGCAGATATACTTGACGAACCGATTAGCACGGAGGACTTAGCCGCAGCGTTGAAGGGCACGAAAACTGGGCGAGCCCCTGGACCAGATGGGTTCTCCACAGGGTACTACAAACACTTTGCTACGACACTCCTACCATGGCTAACGAAAGCAGTAAACAAAGTTGCGGAGGGGGGACACTTTGGCACGGAGTCCCTGACGGCAACAATCGCGGTCCTGCTCAAACCCGGTAAGGACCCGGAACAATGTGGCAGCTATCGCCCGATCTCTCTACTGAATGTGGACACGAAACTCCTGACGAAAGTACTGGCAACTAGACTTCAAAGGACGTTACCAAACCTTGTCCACGCGGATCAGACTGGATTTATCCCAGGTCGAGAGGCACGAGACAGCACATTACGCCTATTTTCGATACAACATCATGCACGGAAGTTTCGGAAACAACTCCTACTACTGTCCACAGACGCCGAAAAGGCATTCGACCGGGTCAACTGGGAATACATGTTTCAAACCCTCCGGTTTATAGGTCTTGGCCAGAGAACCATGGCGTGGATTACTGCACTATACAGCACACCAAGGGCGACGGTACGCGTCAATGGAGCGCTGACCACGAGTTTTGGAATTGCGAATGGAACCAGGCAGGGCTGCCCCTTATCTCCGCTTCTTTTCGCACTCTCTCTGGAGCCACTTCTGCAAGCGATCCGAGATCGTCAGGACATACACGGTTACACCTGGCAGGACACGGAACATAAGGTGGCTGCTTATGCGGACGACCTTTTGTTCTTTGTCTCCCAGCCTCGGATCACACTGCCATGTATACTATCTGAGATGGATAGATTCGGCCGAATCTCTGGGTTTAAACTCAATCTAGCAAAATGTGAGGCACTAAATCTCACCATACCCGTAGCGGACTACGTATCCCTCGGCCCACTCTTCCCATTTCGATGGTGTACGGGAGCAATGAAATACCTTGGCATATGGATCACCACAAACCCACAAGACATATACCAACGCAACTTCACAACCCTACTGCACGGCATTGAATCCGATCTGAAAAGATGGTCCTATCCACATATTACATGGCACGGCCGGATAGCGGTCCTTAAAATGAACGTTCTCCCGAGAGCGCTATACTTATTCCAGACTATACCGATGGCGCCGCCGGCAAAATTCTTTTCAACTCTGAAATCAGAAGTGATCAGGTATGTATGGAGGGGAGAAAGATCCAGGATACGACATGAAATACTGTGCATGCCCAGACATAGGGGGGGTTTAGCCCTACCCGATTTTAAAAAATACCACCAAGCAGCGACGCTACAACGGATTCTGGAGTGGGACGAATTAGAGACGACCAAACAATGGGTGATCCTAGATCAAGAAGGAGACAGTGCAAAACTGAAGGCTGCAATTTGGAAAAGGCGGGCAACGAGAGGCAACAGAAGAGGGGACGATGACCCAGTTACACAAACACTCCTCACATGGGAACAACTCAGGAACAACTCAGGGAAACACCACAAATCTCCCCAACTCCTTGCCCATTGCTACCGATCGCTCATAACCCCAGTATAGGAGGCGGCCTACCGCCAGATGCCTGGTCATTCTTGGGCGAAGCAGGATACATCCCAATACATAAGGTCATTCGGGATGGCGCCCTGCGGACTCTGGACGCGCTACTGGAATCAAGACCGCGCTCACATATGGCGGTTTTTCGATACATGCAACTGAAACATTATTTCAACACACTCCCGCACAAAGAAAAGCTGCAAAGAGACCTCACATGGTACGAGCAACTCTGCTCCAGGGGCACGTCATTAGGGAAAGCAATCTCGAACCTCTACCAATACATACTGACCAGTCCCACCTCGGAAAACAACCTCTTCAAACGACACTGGGAACGAGCCATGGCTAAGTCCTTCACAACAGCACAATGGGACAAGGCCTTGCTCTGGCAGCACAAAAGCTCCTCCAGCTCTCACTATCAAGAGGTGAACTACAAGTTGCTTTCTATGTGGTATCGAACACCTGTACTGTTACATAGGATCTTCCCCACTACGCCACCAGCGTGTTGGAGATGCCAGGAGGATAGGGGGAACATGCACCACATATGGTGGGAATGTAAACACATTGCCCCATACTGGGACCGGATCAAATTAGACATTCAACTGATCCTGGGAGATGACCTTGAATGGTCAGAGGAACTAGCCTTGCTACACATATCCAAGCGACCACTATCCACATACAAAAAATCTATCATGCGTCACCTATTGAATGCGGCCAAATCGCTCATACCGGTATACTGGAAGAAACCAGACATCCCGACAAGGGAGGAATGGATCCACCGGGTTGAGGACATCAGGGCAGCGGAAGCTCTGAAGGCGGAGATGACGGGCAGGGAAGCTCAACACGCTGAAGCCTGGGCACCATGGTATACATACCGCTCTCAACCTTAGGGGGTACCGGGGGGGGGACTGGGGCAGGGAGACGATATGGAGCTCACTAGACCCATGCGACATAAACAACACTCTATATTGATCACCTGACGATCGCAGACTCAACCGACACACCTCACACTCCATCCACAACGTTTGGGGGATAAACACATCCCCGCCACTTCAATACGAACACGAGATCTCATCCGATACGACGGATAACCCTGACCCGCAGTAACTCCATAGGTCAAAGGGGGACCTCTTAGGGCGTGACCCATATCCCCACAGAACCACAAGGGGGGGCATCTTGAGCACATCTGGACATGACGCGCATATCACCTCTATAAGACAATGCTGACAATCAGATTAACGGACGTGTGCAGAAGCCCCGAGATATAGCAACACACACATACACCACGACACTATACCTCTCCTGATGAACCCTAGAAAACACATATAACAACATGATAACTAGCAAGAACCTCGACCAGGTTAATAACTACCGCGCCCAACACGGATGGGCTCTAACACACGGGAAAAGGACGCATATCTTGCACATCCGACCAAACAAGCCCATTTCTATAGAAACAACTCGATTGCCATATGGACAGGGTCACTGTCGGTTGCAGATGGATTACAAGGGGGTAGACTGACTACACTAAGCCCTGGGTACGTACGGACCTCTTCTCACTGCTCCCCATATCCCTGCATTGTGGATCTCGTATCAGACAGACACCACACACTCCTACACATGACCACTAGTTAGGATATTATCCTTCACACCGAAACACACAACATACATTCATTGACAATTACTCTGGCTTCACCCCAATCAAGGAACCGCATCCTTATAGCACATATGAGCGCTACCATACCCACGTAGCTCTAGCTCTATATGGAAGCCCCTGACTCCAGGATATATTGTGACGATAATATTTTTCAATTCACGCTTTAGAAAATAAACAGAATTGTACTCTATCATTGGTTGTATATTGGAACAGGGAACATCCCTGCATATGTACATGTATATGTTATACTTCAAAAATGCTACCTTCACTGTTTGACTGATGTGGGCCTGCGAGCCCTGAAATTTATCGTACCTAATTGCTAATAAAAACCTGATTAACAAAAAAAAAACAAAAAACTGCTAAGTCGCTGATACACACTTTGTGGAAACAGAGGAGTGTGCCAACCTTCCAGCAATGGGTGGCCAGGGTGGAGGAAATCAGTACTATGGAGACTATGATCGCAGCCCTACGAGGCACAGCCTCTCCTGGCCCAACTGGCCGTTAACACCCCATCCCCCTTTTTTTCCCCTCTTTCTCACATCCTTCCTGCCTGTTCTCCTTCCACTCTCAACTGCCTACCCCACTCTAGGATACATGCCTATCTTATTTAATACAGGCTTATCTTCCTTGTTTTTAAATGTTAATACATGGCAAATCAGTTTTTTGAGCAAATGTTTTATTCCGCAATTCCTACAGCTTCTCTCCCACTCTTAACCGTCTACCCCACTCTCAGATATAAGCTTAAAGGACCACTCTAGGCACCCAGACCACTTCAGCTTAATGAAGTGGTCTGGGTGCCAGGTCCCTCTAGGATTAACCCCTTTTTTTTTTTTTATAAAACATAGTAGTTTCAGAGAAACTGCTATGTTTATAAATGGGTTAATCCAGCCTCTAAAGCCTCTAGTGGCTGTCTCATTGACAGCCGCTAGAGGCGTTTGTGTGCTTCTCACTGTGAAAAATCACAGTGAGAAGACACCAGCGTCTATAGGAAAGCATTGTAAATGCTTTCCTATGAGACTGGCTGAATGCGCGCGCAGCTCCTGCTGCGCATGCGCATTCAGCCGAAGAGGAGGAGAGGAGGAGGAGAGATCCCAGCCTGGTGCTGGAAAAAAAAGGTAAGATTTAACCCTTTCCTCTCCCCAGAGCCCGGCAGCAGGGGGACCTTGAGAAGGGGGCACCCTCAGGGCACAATAGTGCCAGGAAAACGAGTATGTTTTCCTGGCACTATAGTGGTCCTTTAACTACTTAAATAAATGATTATGTAAAGGGATGGTATCGCAAGACAAAAATGGGGTTTTTGATGACAGATCTCACTCTGTAGCCTCTACTGC